ATTCCAATTCGTTCTCTCTACATAATTTTTTAAAATAAGATTCAACTACTTCTTGGAAAAAGGTTCACAACTCACAATTTTTTAAACATTCACACACCCTCTGCAAGAATGTGTTTAAGAAAATATATATTAATTATAAGACTATTTACATCGTTCTCGAAATATTCGAGTATTTTTTTTAAAAGAAAAAAAAAACCGTATCTAAATTTAGATTCTATCTCGTGGAAGTTTTATATATTCTCCTCTCCCTCCTATATATAATAAATTAATATTTACAAGAGAGTCGCTCAAAATAGGAAAAAAACCTTACTAAATGTATGCATATTCCCTTCTTTCTATATCTTGTGCAATAAGGAAAACTTACCGAAAATAATTAACATATCCAGGGCTTTACTGGAAGATAGTTCCTAGTGTATACCACTAGGTTAAATTAAAAAAAAAGCATAACATATTGCTTATGCTCAGTATTGATAAAACACCTAACTTTACAAGCTCATGTTGTACAGGTGGAAGGGAATCTTGAAGTTCACTGTGATGTGTTCAGTGAAGGATTTTGGTTAGGTTAGGCACGTAGGCTATTGCTAAGGGACTTCTCTCGTCCTATAAAGGATAATAAAGGACAGGATATGCCTATTATTTAATGGTTTATGATGATAATGTGGCACTCGCACCTCGTTCCAGTGCAGCCCTGAATATAGCTATTCTTAAATTGTTTTTTTTTATATTTTAATTTTTGTTATCTATAATATCTAATAGATTCGTACTATTTTCTATAATATTTTAAAACTATTTAAAGTATCAACGATTAAATATAATTTTTTCCAGAAAAAAAAGGAAAAAGTAATTTTAATTAATGACATATATTTACAAAGTTTTTATGGTGAGCTTTATGAAGATATGAAAAAATTGATATGCACCACATCCCATTTTCCCTGGAACGCTTATCCGAAGACTAGAGGAAAAAAGTCTTCGAAAATGAAAAATGTGATTAAACATGGTCCCACATTAAGCTGAGAGTATGAAAAGAAGCAAAGACTTTTATTTATTTATGATTTTTTTATTAATATTTTTGTTAGAATAAACTTTTTTTTTTAATTTATTAAAGCATGCAATATGAGAGTAAATGGGAATAGTAAAGGAATTGTTATGCTGGACTGCATAGATTTATTTATTTTATTTTTTAGAGGATGTTTGCATCCATAGTAATGCATTCAGTTAAAACTGTTGAAGATGCGAAAATTACGAGAATTCCCATAAATGTTTTGATTATTTATATATTTATTTATTTATTTATTTTTTATTCCTAACTCTCAAAAACTCAAGAAGGAACAATATAAATATAGAACTAAAATTTGCATAATGAAATATCACAATGGGAGTGTTTATCATATTATTTTTGAGCTAAATTATAGGTATTTCTCTCTCTCTCTCTCTCTCTCTCTCTTTAAAAATCCTCAGACTATGGAGGGAAAAGAAGTAAACTAAATGAAATTTTTCTTATATTTATATTTTTGTTTATTGAATGGCTGTTTCGATCTCATTTCATGGCTCCATGCTATTTTGAGAATTATCCAGCTGTGCGTGTTAGAATTGTGCGGATGGGATAAACTTCAAGTGGGATAAAATAATATAAAATGACGTTCGTCATCTCTATTTGGGAGTGTGATAATTATATAAGCTAAATTAGCATTTATGAAAAATAGACCTTTACACAAGATTAAAATTTTTTTAAAAGTTTAGAAGTTTTCTAAACATAAAGAAGATGCGGTTTCATTACTCGAGTATGGAGTATAATTCTTAATATTTTTAATTGCTTACAGTTAATTAAATTTTCTAACAATTTTAAATCGATTAAAAATATATATAAATATTTTAAAACTTAATAACGATTGAAAGAAATTCAGATACGAGGCATTCTTTATGCATTAATTAAGCCTTCAAGTTGCTCTCTTTTTCATCACAGTGATCATTACGACATGATTAGCCATTCTGATTAATGGAAGCAGATTATGATAATAACTAAATATTTATAATAACATTCAAACTATCTAATAATAAAAATGGAAGAAAATTATAATAATGACATTCAGATAGAAGAATTAAGCAGAGTGCCTCAATAGAAAACATAGGATTAATGTAAGATTTAATGTATGAAGAATTTAAATTATTTTTGATTTTATTACATGGATGAAAGGATTTCAAGGTTTGAATAAGTACTTTTTGTCTGGTAATCCGTAAGTCAACAACAGCAGTTAAGACATTAAGACTCAGAGTACATTAAAAAATATTCATGTCTTCGAAAGCTGTACTAGCACATCCCTATTTAGAATAATAAATATTCTAACTATTATTTAAGCTGTACAAGTTCCTCACGAGAAATAAATAATTTAAAAACATATACACACCATTTTAATTTAACAATTCTCCAAGTAAATTAATAAAATTATATTTTCAAAACATTAAAAATTACATTTTTGAATGTCTAAAAATTATTAAAAATCTAATTTACTATATTTTTTTCAGTTCGAAAGTTATTATGTTTCAATATTATAAATTTTAAAATTCGGAATTAAAACTGAGAAGAAGAAACTTTTTAAAAAGGAAACAAATCTAAAGAAAAGTAAATTAATTTTTAATAAATCTCTGAATTGCATGTCTTTGTAAAGTGTTGTAGTACTTTACTACTACCATTCATCAATTATTAAATCTTATTAATAATTAATTTTTAATAAATTTAAAAACATCTAAGCAAAGGAAAAATAAGACTAAATTTTGTAACAATAATAATAAAATCGTTTTAGTAAATTCATTGCGCTACCAGAGCAACAATCTTCATTTGATTCATTACTTCTCGAGATTTATCTTCGATTTCAATATATTTTGTATCAGGTTAAAGTTTTCATTCTTTGCTTTATATATATATATAATTATATGTATTCATATATGCATTTATTAAGTATTAACCTAAGCAGAAATAAATTATTTAATCGTGTAAAGTGCATATTTATTTATATTTTTGCATACTTAAGTATATAGTTTGCATATAAGTCTAGTTTTAAGTTATTTACGCTTTTTTAAATTTAAAATTTTGAGTTTATCAAGGATATATACGAATAAAACTAACATTAAATCGTGATAATAATTTAATTGTTTTTATATAATTTTTTAAAATCAACGTTTTTAATAAGAAGTAAATCTACCCTTGAGTCTAAACAACAACGTATGGAACTTAAACAAATCGCCCTTGTTAACCACATAATCAGTTTTATAAATTGGAACAAGCTTTAATAATGGAATCTGATGATAAGAAATATTGTATTACCTAAATTTATTGAAATAAATTAAAATAATTAATAAATATGTTCTTAAGGCTCGGAAGAATCACAGATAAAAAGAGGTTAGATGAATCGAGACATTAGTTAGTAAAGTTATGTTTCCTTTCATAAACAGAAAAGAGAAAAATTTATGTACATATTTAAGAAATTAAAAAAATAAACTAAAAGTGACTCGTTTCACATTCATTATTTTTAAACAGGAACTTTATAATGCGAGATGTATCTAGAGAGAAATTGCGCTCTTGAATTTTAAAACGAAACAAGAGAGGTCAAAAACATTCAAGTAAAAAAACAGCACCATACTAAATTCTATTAAATTTCTTTACGCTTATGCTCTAACTTTCCTTTTTTTGCAGTTTTTTTCTAACTTAATTCTTTAGATCAATCTGGGGAGACCGGTAGAATGCTAAAAATGTTTACTCTTAAATAGACTCTACACTTAAGAGACGTAAATATTTCTTCGGTTTTTTTTAATATATAATTTCAAGATATGTAATTTGTTTGTGGTATTTTAAACTTCTAAGAATTTTTTTTTTCATAAAAATATAAAATTACCCTTTTAAATATTTTAATAATTAAAGATGCTATTTTTAAATACAATCTAGATCAAGAAAGATGAATAGAATGTTAAGAGTATAAAAAAGGATTTGAATTTTTTTATATATGTATATATTTTTAAATACAGAAATTTATTATTTGAAAAATATATAAAATTCTATATTCTAATTTAATTTAATCAATTTTAAGTAGAAGAAAGTAATTAGAAAAAGAGGCTCAGTCGCGACATTCGCGAAAAAACAGAAGAAAAACATTAATTGAAATTTATATACATTATTCAGCATATAACTGTTATATTTTAAAATAGTTTTCTAATTATATTTTAAAAAGTTAATTAATAATTTGTATTATAAATTCTCCTAACTGGATTATAATGATATTGATTTGTTAGTGAGCGCGACCCGTTGCTTTCGCTTCTTAATGGAGGAGGATGTAAGAAACATTAAATGCGTCCGGTCTCCCCTTTTCACCCGAATTATTTCCATTTAAAGTTAACTGTCCAACATTTTTCTCTCTTTAACCTTTCACAAAATAAACAAAAAGCCAATTATTACTTCGAACACAGCTCTTCACTTATTGACAAGGTGGGCATTGCTTCTTCGCGTTAATACCCGACTCTAGTAGGAAAGAATCACATTTATATTAAGGCCATGTCGACAAGGCGACAGACAAACAGATTGTCTTCACCTAATATCCACTAATAGGTCTATTTTTTCTATACAATATCTATGGACGGTATGTCAGCTAAATCAGTAGCAATAATGAGAAGAAACGAAACGTAATACAGAGAAAGGCCCCATGTACTACTGTCTGTTCCTTCAAAAAAGAGTTTTTCTTCAGTTGTTACACCATTAGAATAAAGTTATAAATGTTTTCGACAACGTAAAACATTTAATAACAATAAAAAAGTCTAAAAAACATTTAGTTTATGAATTAAAATTTAAGAATCTTTTCTTATCTTTCTTTTCATTTTTTACCATTTTTAATTAATCTTAGAATTTAAAAATTAATTTTGTTTTTTGGGCTTTATTCTAAAGGTGTAATTTATAACAGTATCCTTGCAATAAATTTTCCTATAAAGGCCTGAAAGAGATTTTTTTACGATATTTACTTCTCAAAATATAATTATTATTTTTCCTTTTTTTTTTAATTTTTAAATGGACAAAATTGAAATTCTATTTTGGACTTCTTTTTTAAAATCTAGTTACTCTCAACCTTATGCACGGGGTTGGAGAGATCTAGAAGAAAATGGCCAAGAAAGGTTCCTTTATTGCATTTGTTTGGAACCCTGGAGTTTTGCAAAAGAAGAAATTTGCAATTTCAGGCCTTAATAGTTAGTTAAGCCTTTGCTAAAAAGATCTTACTGTGGATCTTTTTCTTGCTCGTACAATTCCTTATTAGTGCTGTCCCTGTCCAGTTCCTCAATCTCGTTTTCGAGCATTGCCCTCATATCTGTAGGCGAAGATTGAGAAACTGGACCTTTATTCTTCGTTTTTCCCTTCTTCTTGGATCCTCCGTGAGTGCCACGCTCACAACCTTCTTTCTTGCTTCCAGCTTTGCTGCACGTATGTCTCGTATGATCTCCAACGTTTCTCAACACCAAAGTATTTGATTCAAAACGCGGTACATGGTGAATTAATTCACCAATGTGATCGTCTATCCTCGTAATTTTGTTGTTGAGTCGTTGAATTTCGAGCTTAAGATCTATTCGAAGATCCATTAAATTTGCGACGATTTGCTGATAGTCCGAACTGTTACGTTGATGCAGAAAGTCACAAGTTTGCATTGAGTCCGCACTTTGTTCTTGTTGTGACGTTTGTTTCTGCAGAGAAAAGATTGCTAAATCTTTATCAGACTTGGAATCTTCATTATCCACATCGCCACTTTCCGATTTATCCATCAGTTTGGCCCACTTACTACCTTTACCTTTGATAGGAGGTATAGCACCAATTACTTTTTTGTTGTCCAATTTATTCCCACCTTCATTAAAATATTGATTTTCCTTATTTTCCAAACTAGTTTCGTCGGCTATAAGACTCCATCTACTAGAATTACGACCACTTCCATTCTTCAGTTCTGTACCTTCTGAAGAATGACTCTCTCGACCTGTTTTCCTGCTGTTTTCACTATTGATGTCTATCTGACTTGAAGTGGGTCCTTCTCCTTTCTCCAAATCTGGAGATGGTAATGCAGCAACTTGATTAGAGCTTCCGGGCCTGTTGTTTGTTTCTGATCCATTCTTGCGGAACTTCGAGAAGATTTTCCTAACCAAATGGTCCTGGGAGATCTCTTGCAAAGGTTCGCTTTTCTTTCGGTCAGCCAATTCTCTTTCTCGCTTTACATCAGCGACTTTTCGAAAGATTAACTGAAAAATTTAAATATAAATATTTCAGTATTTGATATAATTTTCATTAATTTTAACATGATAAATTTTAAGAACATGACACAAATGAAAAGAAGAAGAATATAATTGGGCCATCCCCTATTATTTTCCAAGCGATATCAATAATTTACTTAACTTTCATTCCTCTCAGCAATTTTTGAGAGAGTAAACTTAATAATTTTACGTATAAGAAGAGTATAAATAATAACCAAATCGTTTAAATTCTCATATTAATTCAGAAAATAATTTAATGGATTATCATCAGGTATAATTACGCATCGAGTTAACAGATTATTATCAGTAAGATAAACCGTTTACTGCATTAATGTTATGAACATTTCATCTTATCTGATGATAATAATTTTGAAAATGAAAATTTAAATTGTCATCACAGTAAAATAGACAAACTAATGTTAAAATTTTGTCTAAAATTATCCATTAAATATCTTAAATAGCAACGATCATGAGAGGTTAATGAAATATCATTTAGAAGCATTCCAAAACTTGATATTTATAACATATACTTACTCGATGCCTAAGATTATATGTCAAAACTAAGTTGCGAGCGAAGGAATTGGCGAAAGCATGATAGAAATTTAACACTTCTAGTAATTTATCTCTCTTAATTGCGTGCAGGTCGCAATATGTAAGACCTCTTACATTTGCACAAGATTGACCAATTGTCGGTTCCTTCCAAAAAGAATCGCCAAATACGTCTCCTTTGCCTGAAACGAAACATAACCATGACAATATTTTAAAAAAATCATTCTCAATATTATTTATTCTTCGAAAATCTAGCATCTTAATAATTAAGAAACAGTCTTAATTATACCATACTAAAATTAATAATAAATATTATCAATAATGAATTCTAATCATTTTTAACTTCGAAAAACTTATTAATTTATCCGAAAAATAAAACTAATTTTTAAAATAATCTTTATTTTTAATTAATGAGGCGCCTCTTTATCATAGAAAAGTTAATTGCTGTTTAATAAAAAAAATCGTTGTACCTAATTAAAAAAGATAATCGAATAAAGATTTAATTNATAGCTTTACCGCCTTTTATAACGTTTTTAATCTCGTTTTTCGTCTCTCAAAATGATTTTAAGAAAATTAAAATTGTTTATAAAGTAAATTTTAAAATTTTTTTCTCGATTTTTTATAATATATATATTTTTATTTGGTTAATTCCAATGATTTTATCGCGTCGCAACGTTACTTAATGGAATTATACTATTGTCGCGTGTAAAGCGTCGCGACGGCGCGACTTAATATATTAAATACTAGAATTTTAATAAAATGTTTAAAATTAAAGTTTGTTTATTTTCATTTTGTTTAACAAAAAAAATTTTTTAATCTTTTAAAAATATTTATTTAATTAGTAAAATCTTGTTTATTCTAAAAACACGATAGACCTTATACAATTTATAAGGTTAAATTCATCTTTGAAGGTCGAAATAAGACAAATGCCACACGAGCCACAATAGTTACACTCTTTAATAATAGCATTTTAAAAATATTTTTTGATGTATCGAGTCGCGTGTCACCGCATCACTATCCGAGATGAGATTCCGATACAAACAAATCATTGAAAATAAATAAATAAAAATTATAGAATATATTAAATAATTAAGTAAAATCAATTAGTACACAGACACAATATTAATTTTTGAATAACAGTTTTTATTCTTTCATAAAAGAGGTATATAAGATGCTATTTACAAGCGGGGAAGAATTTTTCGACGATGAAATATCGTGTATATTTTAATAATTCGCATTGATTTCCTATACAATTCCCAACTAGACTAATAATAAATTTCAAAGTAAATCATTTTGTGCATAATTACAAGAGTGCGGTTCTAAAGTATACTCGAAAATGTCACAACCATTATCAAACCCGTTTCTAAAATTTGCATACATGATATACAATTACAAACTTTTACTTCATACTTTCCTCATTCACGCATCACTTTGCATTAATAATTCTTTCAAGTAACACGATAAAATTTTACTAAGAGAAAATGGATGATTACTAATCTAACAAAAAACAATTTTTTTTAATATTTGGACTGCGTTAATTAGCACAGTGAACCGATCTTTACTCCTATACAAGCATCAAAAAAGGGCACTTTGCATTTTCCTATTTGAAAAAAATTTTCAAAGAATTATAAAATTTTTTCCAGATAAAAATTCTTTAAAGAATATACTAAATTTTAAATTAAAATCTCTAAGAAAAAGGCGCACAAAAAAAAGAAACCATTCCAATTCGTTCTCTCTACATAATTTTTTAAAATAAGATTCAACTACTTCTTGGAAAAAGGTTCACAACTCACAATTTTTTAAACATTCACACACCCTCTGCAAGAATGTGTTTAAGAAAATATATATTAATTATAAGACTATTTACATCGTTCTCGAAATATTCGAGTATTTTTTTTAAAAGAAAAAAAAAACCGTATCTAAATTTAGATTCTATCTCGTGGAAGTTTTATATATTCTCCTCTCCCTCCTATATATAATAAATTAATATTTACAAGAGAGTCGCTCAAAATAGGAAAAAAACCTTACTAAATGTATGCATATTCCCTTCTTTCTATATCTTGTGCAATAAGGAAAACTTACCGAAAATAATTAACATATCCAGGGCTTTACTGGAAGATAGTTCCTAGTGTATACCACTAGGTTAAATTAAAAAAAAAGCATAACATATTGCTTATGCTCAGTATTGATAAAACACCTAACTTTACAAGCTCATGTTGTACAGGTGGAAGGGAATCTTGAAGTTCACTGTGATGTGTTCAGTGAAGGATTTTGGTTAGGTTAGGCACGTAGGCTATTGCTAAGGGACTTCTCTCGTCCTATAAAGGATAATAAAGGACAGGATATGCCTATTATTTAATGGTTTATGATGATAATGTGGCACTCGCACCTCGTTCCAGTGCAGCCCTGAATATAGCTATTCTTAAATTGTTTTTTTTTATATTTTAATTTTTGTTATCTATAATATCTAATAGATTCGTACTATTTTCTATAATATTTTAAAACTATTTAAAGTATCAACGATTAAATATAATTTTTTCCAGAAAAAAAAGGAAAAAGTAATTTTAATTAATGACATATATTTACAAAGTTTTTATGGTGAGCTTTATGAAGATATGAAAAAATTGATATGCACCACATCCCATTTTCCCTGGAACGCTTATCCGAAGACTAGAGGAAAAAAGTCTTCGAAAATGAAAAATGTGATTAAACATGGTCCCACATTAAGCTGAGAGTATGAAAAGAAGCAAAGACTTTTATTTATTTATGATTTTTTTATTAATATTTTTGTTAGAATAAACTTTTTTTTTAATTTATTAAAGCATGCAATATGAGAGTAAATGGGAATAGTAAAGGAATTGTTATGCTGGACTGCATAGATTTATTTATTTTATTTTTTAGAGGATGTTTGCATCCATAGTAATGCATTCAGTTAAAACTGTTGAAGATGCGAAAATTACGAGAATTCCCATAAATGTTTTGATTATTTATATATTTATTTATTTATTTATTTTTTATTCCTAACTCTCAAAAACTCAAGAAGGAACAATATAAATATAGAACTAAAATTTGCATAATGAAATATCACAATGGGAGTGTTTATCATATTATTTTTGAGCTAAATTATAGGTATTTCTCTCTCTCTCTCTCTCTCTCTCTCTTTAAAAATCCTCAGACTATGGAGGGAAAAGAAGTAAACTAAATGAAATTTTTCTTATATTTATATTTTTGTTTATTGAATGGCTGTTTCGATCTCATTTCATGGCTCCATGCTATTTTGAGAATTATCCAGCTGTGCGTGTTAGAATTGTGCGGATGGGATAAACTTCAAGTGGGATAAAATAATATAAAATGACGTTCGTCATCTCTATTTGGGAGTGTGATAATTATATAAGCTAAATTAGCATTTATGAAAAATAGACCTTTACACAAGATTAAAATTTTTTTAAAAGTTTAGAAGTTTTCTAAACATAAAGAAGATGCGGTTTCATTACTCGAGTATGGAGTATAATTCTTAATATTTTTAATTGCTTACAGTTAATTAAATTTTCTAACAATTTTAAATCGATTAAAAATATATATTATATATCTGTATTATATGAAAAAGCATTATTGATGTACAGGATGTCCCAAAAGTCGAGATACATAGGAAAATTGGATCATAAGTTTCCAGGTTAATTAATGAATTGATCATCGTAGTCTCCAGACCTTAATTCCCTGACTTTTGTCTGTGTATTTGAAGTCTTTGGTGTGCCAGGAAAAGATTCAAAACATGGATCATTCTAATGGAATTCCTTTAGATAATACATTTGATGTTTCAATTAGGTGCATAACATTTGATATGTTAACATGAGTTTAGCTTAAGCGCATTCGTATATTTGGAAAGAAATAGCCGATATGTAAAAATAGTTTTATCGTGTAATTAAAGTTACATTTCTCTAATAAATGTTAAATTTTCCTATGTATCGCTACTTTTCGGGCACCTTGTAAGTTTTTGCTCTAGGATGCTAAAAGCTAAGTTACTTTTAGTCATAATATATCAATTATACGAAAAATAAAAGATTATAATAATTTATTAAGGTATTAAAGTTACTACTAGTTAACTTTAAAAGTGCTAAAGATCACACAATAAGCCAAACAAAGCGGTATCATAAACGTAAGTAAAATTCATATCGGTTTATAATGAAAGAAAAATTTTAAAAAATAAGTGAATCTCATTAAATTAACTTCAAGAACGATAAAAACATATTTAATCAATAAAATTTTAATTTACTTCATGTAAATCAGAGAAATACACCATTTAAGCAGAGCAATCAATTCTTCATTAATACAAGTTATCTTTATTCCATTTCGGGAAATATCCACGGTAATTCAGCTGAAACACATTAATCGCATGTTTGATACATTCTGGAGGCAATATACTAAAAGCACCACCTGCAGAAACATTATACGCGTGACCTACTTTGCCCCAAATGAGATGTTCGAATAGCCCACTAAGAAAGTTGAACGTTGAAAGTAAAGTAACCTGTAGTAAAGTATTTATAGACAGAACTTGCCTCGTCTGTGATTACACCCTGTGATTTTTTTTTCACGAAATTACAATATAATGAAACTAAGAATCCTTTGTGAGGTATGAACTCAAAAAAAAAATTCATACCATCTGCCATCACGTTTATATCTATAAAGTTATAAAATATCCTTTTATTTCTCTATTAGTATTTCATTATGAAAAAGCTGCTATTTTTATCTCATTTCTATGATATTTCTTTTGTTAGAATGAATCGAAAAATTCACTTTTGATACTCCTATTATCAAACTTTTATATATATATTTTTCTATTCTTTTACTCCATTTCTTTGTTGTAAAAATCTAATAATTTAGCCATTTTTTCAAATACTCTTCTTATATTAATGCTTCTATAGAGTTGATATAGCTTATAAAGAACTACAGACAAATATATGAGTAAATAAGCTCACTTGTCAGAGAAATGTGGTTAGAAGTTCAATTCAATAAAATAAAATGGAAAGCGACTGAGAACAAAAGAATTCTGCCATGATGAATGAAAGACGTTTAGAACATTGCAGGAGGTTTAAATGTAAGAATTTTTATAGTTAAATTAAATTATCATATAAGTCTTTGGCGTGTTTTACATGTTTATCATTCTGATGAAGTTAAATGGGTT